AAAAAAAAAAATGCTGACTGAATTCTGACAACACTCATTCCATGTAAATGAAAATTCATCATCCTGATTTGTGTTCCCTCAGAAGCTGACTCTCAGGGACAGAAATGAGTACAAATCATTTGTCCCGTAAATGACCCCGGGAAATACTAGCAGGGGAGGGAGAAAGTGAGACACGGAAGGGATGAAGCTGATAGAAGACGCATCATCAAGCTGGCTTCATGGTGGGCATGTGGAGCCCAGTTGTGTCAGGACGTTGTGGAGGACAGTGTGATTCAGGCCACCAGCCATCCCAGAGCAAGTGTGAGACAGTTGGAGTGTCTATCCACTGATTCCCCGCCCGCTCTTGGGAGAGGGATGCCTCTAGGGGCCGTGTCTCTGTAGACCCCAGCAGCCCCGTGTGCAAGGTGAGTGTGCCCCCCAGAGTCCTCGTGTGTGTGCAGCAGTAGCCGTCATCATGTGCAGGGGAAGGCTGAGGCCCCGAGGCTGGGCGAAGCCCACTGCAGCGACCCTGCTGACCAGTGGCTCCTCTCCCACTTCCTGTGTCCCCATCTCTCACCTGCCCGGGGCCTCTTTCCTGCTTTCCTCCTTAAAGTACATCATGCTCACAACACAGAAACCGTTCATGTCACTCCCCACTTTGAACCCTACAATGCCTCCTCTTGTAGAGTAAAATCCCAATTCTTACGGTGGCCCGGACGGTGGTCCCAAGGCCCGCTATGTATGTAATTCCGAGTTTCTGAGTAGACGTGTTCAAAAAATAACAAATGTGTAAAGTTAATTTTAGTAATGCATTTTATTTACCCCCAAATATCTGAAATACTAGCAGGGCACATAATCAACCTTGCACTTACTCATCAGCATTAAAAGAATTTTTTTGTACGACGTGTGGGAAATCCACTTAGGGCCCATCTAGTTGGGTTTGTTGGGTTTTTTGGTTTTGGTTTATGGTTTTTGTTTTTGTTTTTTTGGTGCAAAAAGGTGTTTTTGTTATAGCACAGGGACAGGACCTGTGGGCAGAAAGAGCTGCCCTGGGATTGTGAGAAGTGACTGAATATGTACTTGTTAGTTAGGGAGTGAAGGATAGTCTAGTCTCCAAGGAATTTGTACATGGTAAAGACAAGGTGTCCAGGACCTTGGAGCACTAGCTGTTGTTAAGATAAGGCTGCTTTTATTGTTGTCTCGTAAAACATTAGTCACAAGACCTTCAAATGTGTAGCAGCTGGGCCATATGTCTGCAAGGTGATTGCTAATATATATTTTCGGGGACGGGGGTTGTCAACGGTTATCAGAGGGAACTAACAGTAATAAGAGCAAAGCTATGGTGGTAAAACACTAAAGGAAGTCGTTGACGTGGCTGCAGGAACCTCAGGAATTCTGCCCGAGACTGTGAACCACAGCAAAGTCCCGCTTATGTTGTTTTCTCCCATCATTTTGCCCCCTGAACAAACTTGACCCTTAAATCATTAAGGTTGCTGAGGACGGAAGGTCTCATCTTCTATAACTTCTTCCTACTGAATAGGGGCATAGACAGAACCCTCCCTGTGGGTCAAGACTGGTCAGTTGAGAATTTAATAGGACTCATGCAAGGTTGAGGCAGCCATGTCTGGAGTTGGTAACATAGGGGAGTCTCCTTGAGTAGAAAGGATCGTGTGTCGGCTTGACGTTGTGGCAGTGAAGGGGTCTCAGCACCAGGCTCATTGATATTCAGAAAAAAAACCAGCAAAACAGGATCAAAATGGCAAGAAGAAAAGGAGTCCTTGGATACTTGGCCAACATGCTGGGGGCCATGTGGAACCAGTCACCCTGCACACAGACAGCAACCACGATGGTGGGGCCCCCGAGTGGACACTGCAGCCCCAAGAAGAGCCTGTTGCATCTGGTCCCTGGGACCCCTTCAGTCTCACTTCCCCAGTCTGCCAGCCTTTCCCCCTTCCTCTCCCTCTGCTGCCTTTTTCCTTCCTAGAACCGGCCAGACCAATGTGGTCTCTGAGCCTTTGCACTTGCCCATGTGTCTTCCTGGAACCGGTGTCCCAACATCTCCCAGGTGTTCAAAGAGTCAGCTTTTCTTTCTTTCAGTTGCTCATGTTTGAGCTAAGTGACCCCTCCGAACACTCCTCTGAGCCCTCAGATGAGGAAACAGCCCTACTGCCTCCCACCCCGCTAGGTCACGTTCACTCAGGACCATGTTCTTCCTCTGTCACCAGGACCCGAAGTTCTCCCTTGTCCTCTGTGAGTCATTTCTCTTATTTATTTGTTGACTTAGTGCCTAAGTGACATGCGTGTTTCATGTCTCTCTCCTGTCACTCTGTTCCCAACATCGGCGAGAGTGCCTCGCACATAGCAGGCGCTCGTAGTGGCAGAGTGAGGGCGGGGCAAGCAGCTGCCCATGCTAAGGCTGGAGACGAGTGAAGAGCTGGGGCTGCGGGTGAGACATCTGCCGGTGACACCCGCAGCTCCTCCCTCCTCCTTCCTTTCTTCTCCTTTCCTCTGCCCTCCCTGACTTGCCTCCTTCCCTCCTTCTGACCCTCCCATATCCTCCTCCATCCCTGGGAGTAGAGGAGGATCCTGTCTGTACTCATGTATGCCTCCTCCCAGGGGTGTGCCAAGCACCCAGAAGTCCCCTGCTCTCAGCCACCTCTTCGGGCCTGGGAACCAGCCCCGTCCAGGCTGCGTGTGGCCCAGAAGGTGTGCTCCCTGCTGATCTGCCAGGAGGCAGTGGTGGCCGAGGCTCATCATGCGGGTTTTGACTTTCCAGCTCTACCATGTCTCCAGTGCCCACGAGTCAACGCCAGTGGGGTTTGCGAGACTGGGGAAAGTGTCTGCGAGACTCAAGGCAGCCAGCGGTGCTTCCTGAGGAAGGTCTACGAAGGTAGGTGGGTCCTGAGAAGTCACCTGGGTGACCCTTGCCTGAAGTTAAGTGCTAGGAGTGGAGGTTCAGGGGTGGGAGTGGTATGAATCCCTCATGGGACCAATGGAGCTGGGGCCCCCAGGACAAGGCAAGTGACTCTAGGACCCAGGGAACTGGGGCCTTAGGAACCCTGGGAGTAGCAGCAGTATAGGCAGGGGTTGATTTTCTTTTGTCACTAAGCTTGTGAAGCTGTGTCACCTGGTTCAGGTACTCAGCTGCCAGTGACCCCTAATTGGGCCAGTACCTGTAAGAGAAGAAGACGGGATCTTCTGTTAGCTCCTGGGGTGACTGGAAGGGCTGCTAAAATCCCACTGACCCTGACCTGAGTGTGGTAGAGAGTTGTGTTACCAGAAGCAGACATGGGCGGGGGCGGGGAGCGGAGAGGGTATTAGGGCATTTTCTATTCACCCCTTCCTGCCCGCTGCTGTGTGGGGAGGGATTGAACCCTCGGACACAGAGCCCCCAGAGCTGGCCTACGAAGGATACACTAGGGGGCTCCATCTCAAATATCTCAATCCTGGGAGGCAGAGAGCAGGCATCCTTGAAGGATGTTTCCATTTTCTCCTCATTCCTTGATTCACCTGTTGATGCAAAGATCTACTGGTTCATTCAGCAATATTTAACGAACACTGGTCACCAGGACATGCTGAACCCCACAGCCGTGGGTCTGCAGTCCAGGCTTCGGGGTCTCATTTGTCCTCTTCTCCGCCCTTCTGCAGATGACACCCTTTCATATGGATACCAAGGTTGTAGCAGTGTGTGTTTCCCTTTGGTGCTCTTTAATCCGGCTGTTACTTTGGAGGAGAGATGTTGTAATGACTCACCTTTCTGCAACAAGTTCTAAAGATGGGGCCCAGCTTTGCCCTGAGCTGGTGGATAAAGCTGACTCAACGTACCTTTCAACTCTCATGAGCTTTAAGACGACGTGCACTGAATACGGGGAGAAATCGCAAACTAGGTCTGTGTCAGGCCCAGCCACCTTTTCTCTTCCTCGTTATGAGATGCTGCTGGGATATTTTAAAATCAAACCGGGGTGAAGAGTGGTGGGCATAGGTGGGTCCAGGCATGCCTTCTTCCTTTCGAGGACCACACTGATTTGCACTTTAAAAAAGCAAGGTCTGGGGTTTGTGATTCTGCGTGGTTCTGGAGGCAGCCAGCTGAAGGAAGAGGGAGAGTCCTGAGATGCTGAAAAGGATAGGAAATGAGGTGGCCATAAATGATGCATTAGTTGGTGTAGGCGGGCTGCTGTGACAAAAATCTCTGAAATGGCGGTGTCCTAAAACAATAAAAAATGAATGCTCACCCATGGCACAGTTCAACGAGGTGGTGGTGATTATTTAGGGATCCTAGCTCCTTTCAAGTTTTTATGCTACTGTCTTTAACATAGTCTCCAAGGTCTCTACGGAAAGGTAGATGAACATGGAGATTCATAGGGCCGGAGCTCAAAGCGTTGTACACAATTTCTCCCACACTCTGCTGTCCCTTGACTCCAAACAAATTGCAAGAAATGTGATCTTGCAATCTCATGTGCCCAAAAGAAGATCCGGATGGTCTGATGAACTCAGTGGATGGAGTCCAGTTCTGTCCCCTGACCCCCACCCTGTCCCCCACTAGCCCCCCCATCAGACGCCTTAATTTGCACCCACATTTGACCTCTGTTACAAAGGAAAGAATAACCCAGCAAATGAGGACCACAAAGCCCCATATACTGATTACAAGTAAAACATTTGTGACCTGACCAGGTATTCTGTGCTCTCCGTTTCGGTCTCCCCCACATGGAGACTGGGGCCCAGCACATCTCAGGAGCCTGCTCGTGACACCCAGTGCTCTTTTTCTTTTTGTGTCCTCGCTGTTTCCTCAGTGCTGCTCCAGGGGTCTCAGAGCTCTCTTGCTGTGTCCCCCACCCTGGGAACCCCAGTGTGCCTGCCAGTGATGTCGGGTCCTCCTTTTCCCCACAGAGCCAGCCGGCAGGAGAGGCGCTGGTCCCCAGATTCCCCTTCACACGCTGTCCTGAAACAGCTTCTCCACTTCTGCCTGTGGCTCCTTTCCTCACAGGACTCCGTAGGGAGGAACACCTTTGGATGCTGCCAGTGGCTACACTGGGAAAGGCAGATCAAGAAGAGGAAAACCAGGGGAATCTGGGTGGCTCAGTCAGTTGAGCTCTTTTTTTTTTTTAATGTTTATTTTTCATTTTTGAGAGAGAGAGAGAGACAGACAGAGCTCGAGAGGGGGAGGGCCAGAGAAAGAGGGAGACACAGAATCCGAAGCAGGCTCCAGGCTCTGAGCTGTCAGCACAGAGCCCGACGCGGGGCTCGAACTCACAAACCGCGAGATCATAACCTCAGCCGAAGTCGGACGCTTAACCGACTGAGGCACCCAGGTGCCCCATTTTTTTTTAAATGTTTATTTATTGTTGAGAGAAAGGGTGCGAATGGGGGAGGGGTAGAGAGAGAGAGAGGGAGACGCAGAATCTGAAGCAGGCTCCAGGCTCCAAGATGTCAGCACAGAGCCCACTATCGGGCTTGAACTCATGGACTGTGAGATCATGACCTGAGCCAAAACCAAGAGTCAGACGCTTAACTGAGCAAGCCACCCAGGCACCCCTAAATAAACTATTTTTTTAACCTGACATTTCTTTGTACCATGTGTGTTTAAAAAAAAAAAAAGGAAGAAGAAGAAGAGGAAAACCAAACAGAGTGTGTTGACACCAGCGTCACTCACATGTATGCACGAGCATAGCCAGTGATGAGTAACTCGAGTGAATGATCGCCACTGGCGCTCCTACAGCATCTTAACAAAGAACTACTCTGTTCAGAAGTGACAAAATGAAAGAAAAGGGGTTTATACCTCCCCAGGCGGCCAAATATGGGAAGGTAACCATATGGGGAAAAGAATGGAAGGGCTGCTTAGTAAAGATCCTTATGTCGATTCCTCAGGGCTGGTGTCTAAGGTCTCCCCTGGTGACCAAGCATCCTCCTGCCCTCCCTAGAGGGCAGAGAGTTGTTCTTGTATCTGCTTCTCAGAAATTGCTTTCAGCTCAAAATAATCCTTTGTCACCTGATGTATTTTGGGGTGGCGGACTCTGAGCCTGTTCAACTCAAATCCATCCACAAGGGCTGGACAGTCAGAAATCCCACTGCTGTCTATCTGGCTTTTTTCATCATTAGGACCCTAGCCTGTCCCCCAAACCTCCTTGTCCCAGGGCTCCTCTGTACACATGCAAATTATGCGTGAGTTCTGATGCTGGGGATGGAGCGGAGTCATTAGCTGGCAGCCCAGTTCCGGTCAGGCTGGGCAGAGGACCCGTGACGCATTCGTTGATCCAGTTTCCTGTCCATCCCGAGGAGACGCTAAAGACGCTCTGATGCTAAGCCACGCCTTCTGATGACCCCGGGCACTTGTATGGAGGCAGGATTTTCATCCACTGGGAGTTTCCTTTACTCATGAGGTTTCCCTCCTCAGAAAAGACAGGTTCTAACTGGTCGTCACCTGCTAATGATCTCAGGATGGCAACCGCGCGGCTTTGTCACAGACTCACAACTTGCCATGGGCTCGGGGGTGGGTGTGGACACACCTCCTCAAAGGCCAAACCATGTGATTCTTACAAGACTCTCTCCTCTGGTCTGAGTTGACAGTAAACATGGCGGACATTTGACCCAACTGGGCTAATGAATTCTCTTCCCTTATTAGATGTGAGAGACTAATTTTCTCATACGGGGAATGACTTGACCAAAGCAAGGAGCCATCAGGTCCAATCTTAGCCTTACGCAGCACTCAGCACACAACGACAGCAGCAGCAAAATGAAATGGAGAAGCGGTTTAAAGTGTTAGCTGTGCTTTTATGTTCAGGGTTATAGCTTCCTTGACAAACAAGAGGCGCAAGGGAAGAAAATGCAGAATGACTATTGGCCACCACTCTGCTGTTTGTCATTCATGGAATGAGTGTTGTCAGAATTCAGTCAGCATTTTTTTTTTT